TTCGTATTCCTTACGAATTCCATGATGTTTCTACGAATGTACGATCAAACTGAAAAACTTACGATTTTTTACGACTTGTGAAAATTAATGTTTTTTACATTGTGAGCCGAGAAATATCTGGCGATTGTGGGCGCAGCCATATTGGATCACGCGTTCACGTTGTTCTCGCGTGATCTACGCAAATCGTTCACTCCATATGATAGTTAGTACACGTTCCTATTGGTCATAGCTTAATAGAGTATGCGGCGGGAGTGGGCGGGGTCTATTTTTATCCTCCAATCACAGGTCGGAGCAATTCCTCTGCTTAGACGCATGTCATTATTGTATCTAATTGGGACCCCCTGCAATATGTTTTCGCATATGTGCTAAACTAATCTGAGTTGCTAAACTAGGCTTGAGCCAGTGTTATGGATTGCGTCTCGCAATAAGGTACTACCAGGACAGCTTACCCTATTGCTTGATGAAGCCTGTTCGTTGCACTTGATCATCTGAGCACGGATTGAGAGGGAGTTGTTGTACATGTGGGCAGCGGGTGTGGTTGTCCGGGCGCGCGCGACGTCCTTTGTTATCTAGAAATGTATAAAGGGAAGGTTCTTGGTTGTGAGAGGGGATCGGACGGGAGTGTGCGAGGCACACGTCTGCGTGCCTCTGTGCGAGCGCACGTGGGTTGAGAAACAATATACTATTTGCTGAACACAACTGCTTGGAGTTTGGAGTTTCTTTATTCATCGCTACAACTAATCTACATTGAACCGGGTAATGTCATCTTCGTCGTTACAGAGTATGCCCTAGACCCCACTAGCGCTGGCGTGCCCGCGGCATGCGGGGTTGCCTTTGGCAGCCCAGGTACATTTCGCACCTCTGTTCATCCATTTCTGGATACGCCACTGGGTAGAGCTAGTAGTAAGTACTAAATTTTCGACCCACCTATTCCCTAGTGGATATACAGGAAACTAGGAAACCTACACTCTGCATACCTAGATGAAGTGCCTATCCTAGGTTCGAAAATAATGGCGGTCTGTAAGCAACAGTTTTGCTGCCTACAATGATCAGTTTGCTGCCTGCTTTCAATGTCGGCATGCTTCTAAGCAAGACATTTCTAAAACACCAAAGATACAGGATATTTCTGTTAAAAACTGTGGGCAGATACGTGTGCAGGGTTGTTGTTTTCTTCAGATTGCGTTGACCCTATGTTGCCATCCGTACTTCTATGTGCAACTTGGGTAAAGCATTGGTGACTATATATTTAGAATTAATTAATCAGGGGAGACAGCACTAGGCAGCCACACCAGCTTCTTAATTGCCAGAGGCAGTAGGACAGGATTGTTGGGGCAGGAGCGAGTGAAACTAAGAGTTTTCTGCCTCTGATGTAACAGTATTCATGTTATTTCATGCACTGCACCAAAGCGCCATCTATTATAAGCGCCGCGCCGTACACGAGTATTATATGAATCCAACATGGCAGCGGCCATGTCAACGTTGTAACTTTGATCGTGCTAAATAAAACACATTAACTACAACCAAGACTTGTCAAGTACCATTACATGGTGGCAGCTATGCGAAGAACAACGTCCCAAGAATATGTAGATGCCAAATCCTGCCGAATTTAATGCCAAATCCATACGTATTTGATGCCAAAACGACCGCCCGTCCTGACCACGCTGCTGTAGTGCATTTGTATACATAGACTGTACATGCCATACCGGCTCACCAGTTGCTGCTGTATACAAGCTATCTACCTACCTGCCTGCCTACTACCTGCAACATGGGGGACGCCAAACTGCCTAAAATGGACTGGGCTGGTTCTGACTTGTCAGCCACGTTCAAAATCTTTCGTCAGAGGTGTGAACTCTATTTCAAAATCAAGAAAATAGAGGAGGAGATGGCCGTCACACACATTCTCTTGGCTGTCGGTGAAGAAGGTCTTCGGAGATATAACACGTGGACACTGACGGCTGACCAACAAAAGGATCCCGGCTACCTCTGGACTAAATTCGAACAACAAATCGAGCCAATCGATAACTTTCGAATCTGTCGTCTGAAACTTAGACATTTTCGCCAAAATCATGACGAAAGTCTTGACGATTTCATCACATGAGCCAAAGCAGTCCCCCTGAAATGTGATTTCAGCAACACAGAACTAAACGAACGCCTAGTTGAACTTATTATCGCGAGTACACTGATCCCTGAATTCCAAAAGGAACTGCTGAAGAAAGAAAAAGCTATGGCCTAGACGATGCTCTCACACTAGGACGAACGTACGGAGCTACATTATCAAGTGTCAAGGAGCTCAACCGGATGGCTGAGTCACACTTGTCTACGAACGTCGATGCCATTGGCAATAGTCGCAACTTTGACCGTCATAGATTCAAGTCACAACCCCGCCAGTGTGGTAACTGTGGTCGCAACCACCCGCCTCGCAAATGCCGTGCGTATTAAGCCACCTGCGACGGATGTGGCAACAAGAGGTCACTGGAAGAAATGCTGTCGAATAACGAAAGCCCAGCAATTCAACGTGATTCTAGACAGTAAACACCATCGAAGCAAGTCCAGGCATCGCCAACAACAATCGCCAAATGTTGACGTCATTCAACAAAAACCATTGAGTTTTCCTAGCCGCCAGCAGGATGATGACCCAACAGAGGTGTTCACTTTTCACGCTGTCAACAACCTACATGACTACAGCGTGACCAAGCCTTCGTTAAGATCAACGTCCAGATACGCCACAAGCCTGCCAACCTCATGCTGAAAGTCGACACCGGAGCCCAGGCCAACCTTCTGCCTATGCGAACGTACCGCGCGATGTTTCCAGACACCCAGGATGCCAACCTGATACCGTCACAATGCCGACTCGTAGCGTACAATGGAACACCCATTAAATGCCTCGGGACCATCACCATCCCTTGCCGATACAAGGACTCTGAATGGGACCTCACTGACTTTTTCGTAGTCGATGAACCAGGACCCGCAATCCTAGGACTACCATCGTGCGGTAAGCTGAACGTTGTCACACTGCACTGTGCCGTAGAGCAATTCAAAGCTCCAGCGCAGCCCATAGTCTCAAGGAAGCCAGTCATCAAATCTGTTGACGACCTCAAGAAACGGTACCCCAATCGTTTTGATCGAATTGGTGAGTTTAAAACCATACACAAACTCGCTGTTGATCCAAACACGCCGCCTAGTGTCGATCCACCGAGACGCCCGCCAATCGCACTCAAGGAGCAGATTAAAGCCAAACTGGATGAGATGGTCGAACAAGGTGTCATACGCCGAATCGAGGAACCAACCGAATAGGTTAGCTCCATCACGTATGTTACCAAGAAAGACGGTAGCATCGGGATATGCCTAGATCCAAGGCACCTTAACCGAGCTCTCATAAGGCCTCGCCATATCACACCAATGATTGACGACATAAACCACAAACTCTCAACTGCACGTGTCTTCTCAAAACTCGACGCTAAATCCGGTTATTGGGCCGTCAAGCTGCATGAAGAAAGCCAAGAACTCACAACCTTCCAAATGCCTTTTGGTCGATACTGTTTCTGCCGCTTTCCTTTTGGCCTCTCTGTCAGTCAAGACATATTCCAGCTTGAAATGGATTGAATCGTTGAACTTTGCCTAGGAGTCTGTGGAATATCAGATGACATCATCGTGTATGGAGACAACGATGCCGAGCATGACTCAAACCTGCTCAACTTGATGGAAGTCGCCGGAGCCAACGGTCTCGTCTTCAACTCGCTGAAATGCTCCATCAAGCAGTCTAGTATCGAATTCTTCGGAAACGTCTACACCGATCAAGGCATGAAATCTAACCCCAAGAAAGTCGCCGATCTGAGAGCCATGCCTGAGCCCGTCAACAAGACCGAGCTACACCAGTTTCTTGGCCTTATGACCTATCTATCTTGCGTCATCGAAGACTACAGCACCAAGTCTGCTGCACTACGAGATCTCCTCTACCAAAACGTAGATTTCATTTGGGAAGCTCACCACCAGAAAGCATTCGAGAACCTTAAGAACACTGTCTTTGATGACTCGTTGTTGCGATACTTTAACCCGAAGAAGGAAACCTACCTTCAGTATGACGCAAGCTTACGTGGTCTCGGAGCAGCCCTACTGCAGTCATCGGATGACGACAAGCTGAAGCCTATAGCCTTTGCAAGCAAGAGCCAGACGCCAACAGAGCAACGGTATGCCTGCATCGAATGAGAACTTCTGACGGTAGTCTCTGGAGTCGAGAGATTCTATATGTATCTATATGGACGCACGTTCACAGCCATTACTGATCATAAGCCGCTAGTGATGATCTTCGACAAGCCACTAGCAGCCGCTTCCTCAAGATTGCAACACCTGATGGTCAAACTGCAAGGTTACAACCTGAGGATCGTCTACAGACCAGGTCGTGACAATCAACTAGCAGACAGACTAAGGCGCCTATCATTGCCTGCAAACGCCACAACGATCAACCTTGACCTCAGAGTGGACCACACCAGTTTCACCGCTAGTAGCCAAGCGAAGCTCAGAGATGAAACGAGGCAAGACGAAAGGCTCGACCACCTAAGGGAGATAATCGTTACCGGATGGCCGGATGACATCAAAAATCTGCCGAACTTGCTAAAGCCTTACTGGAGTTACCGCGACGAGCTAACCATCCAAAATGCCCTCATCATCAAAAGAAGGAGAACCCTCATCCTAAAAGGTCTGCGACAGGATACCCTTTAACAGCTACATGCCGGACACTTTGGTCGTGAGAAAACTCCTGCTTGCCCGTGAAACTGTCTTTTGGCCAAACGTCACGAAGGGGCTAACGCTCCATTAGGAGTGTTCCCAATTTTGATATTATTAATGATTAATGATTATTGATTGATAATCCTAACCCTAACCCTAACCCTAACCCTAACCTAAATGACATTAAACCACAAACTAATATATGACCATGCCCATATATATATATATATATGTTATTATGACCATTAATGACATTAAAGTTGGGAACACTCCTAATGGAATATCACCCCACGAAGGACATAATCGAACTGGTAACCAAATGTGAGACGTGCCAGGAAGCGCAACCATCACAACCTTCCGAGCCGCTATTCCTACATGCAATACTTCATAGGCCATGGCACACACTCGCGTCGGATCTGTTCGAATATGATGGATTGCACTACCTTGTCTTAGGGGATTACTATACGAAATTTCCCTTTGTTCGAAATATGCCGTCGCATTGCCCAAGCCGAACTGTGATCGCCACTATAAAACAGATCTTCGGGGAGCACGGAATTCCTAAACGTGTCTTGAGTGATAATGGTCCCCACTACAACAATCAAGAATACCGAGCATTCGCCGCACACTGGGGATTCGAGATCGTCACCACCTCTCCACGCAGACCCAAAGGAAATGGTTTCATGGAGAGAACTTTACAAACTGTGAAGCACACGCTCAAGAAGGCAAATGACACTAACACCGATTTTGACCTTGCTCTACTGATGCTGAGGGCCATCCCGATCAGTAACAAGCTTGACAGTCCTGCAGAACTGCTATTCAGTAGGAAACTACAGACAATTCTGCCCGCCGAGCCAACGAACACATTTAATAACAAAGACGACATCCACACGGAACTTCCATCTCGCCAACAGACGCAGAATTTCTGCCATGACAGAACCGCGAGAAAATGTGATCTACCTCACTTACAGCCCGGTCAAATTGAAAATGTGTGCATTCAGCACCCCGAAACTCAGAAGTGGAACCCTGCGACATTTCAATCGAAGTGTGACCAATTCCCCGCTCATATATCGTTCAGACACCTAACGGTCATACACTGCGCAGAAATCGTCAACATATCCGCGAAGTTCCACAAGACATAGTGTCCCCACCAGAACCGTCGCCGCCTGATCCGCCAGCGCCAGTGGAACCTACTTCGCTGCAACGTGTTTCATTTGCGGAATCACCAGAACAACCACCTGATTCAACTACCACAAGGTCCGGTCGCAAAGTGAAATCACCAGAACACCTGATTACCCAGATCTGATGTCTTTTGGATTGGCTGTGTCGCGTCATGTCTTTGGACTCTCTGTCTGTTTTTACTTCGCTGTGCATCACAGACTTTGCAATTCTATAGATCATCCATGTACTTACGTTAATGAATCGCGACTTTTCAATACTGTAGTTAACCGTACGTAAATGACTCGTGAACTACTATATCCCGCGTATACTCTGTGCTGCATATACCGCCTCACCGCCACACGCAAAATCGCGTATTTTGAACATTCTTTTTAGCTCATCTGACGTAGTCAGATGCAGCTTGTAGAATCGCATGATCGTCCGTCCGTCTGGCCGTCCGTGCGTCCGTCCGTCAACAGTTGGGCAAAAATCTTAACTGCTCGACGTACGGTCACGATATTCGGGACGTGGGGGGGGGAGTTGGGATGTTAAAGATGGAGGTCAAAGGTCAAAGGTCAAGAGGTGTAAAAGAAGGGGGAACATTCCTTCCTTAACTTAAGGTATAGGGAGGAAATGCAGAATTGCAGCACAAATATAAACGGTCGACCTAGGCGTGTGATAGTCGGTGTATAGCATCATGGTAGGAAAAGCCATCACTGTGCTGAAATTGGAGGTCACAGGTCAAAGGTCAATGGGCACAGGGCAGATTTTAGACATTTTCTGAGGACATGGTCTGACGGAGCGATTGAAAAACTTTTTTGTTTCAGCAGTGACCTAGCATTTCTATGACTTTATTGAAAGGACCATGAAATGTACTTTCTGCTGACATGCGAAGAGTAAGTGTCGGATAACCTTTTGACCCTCAAGAGGAGGGTTAAACATGGATTTGTTTACTGTTAGAAAGAATTTGACTGCCGGGTTTGCTAGTAGAATCTATACATGCCTGGATGTATGAGGCTACAATGTCACAGTGAAATTTCAAAAGCTAAATTTGGTTGAAGAAGGTTTATGTTCCTTAAATCGTATAATTTCTATGGCATTCTGTACTGTCAGTGTGTTACATGTAACTTATGCCACTGCCAGTGGCCACTGCCAGTGCATGTGGTGGTGATAGTACTGTGTAGTTTTTGCCTGCGTTAATTAGTTACAGGTGGCAGTTCTCTATTTCAGCCTGTAGGCTTGCGTAGGTAAATGGATGAGTGCTTACCTATTCTGTCTTGCAAATAGTTGTTGCTACTACGTACAATGGGAGCTTCCATCTTTAATCTGAAGACACTTAAACGTACGCGCCATCTCGTGGCAACTTTCATAACGATCCCAATGAACATTCTTTTGAGAAGGTTCCTGATACCATCCCTGTGCCTTCCACTGTTTCGGCGTGTATGTGAACACATTTGGGACTAACAGGGTTTACTAGAATCCCACCACTCCACCACAGAGTCACCGCAGTAGACGTTAGATGAGCGCTGTCGCTCCGCGGCACTTGTTTATGGTAGGGGGGATGTAACAGTATTCATGTTATTTCATGCACTGCACCAACGCCCCATCTATTATAAGCGCCGTACGCAAGTATTATGTGAATCCAACATGGCAGCGGCCATGTAAACGTTGTAACTTCGATCGTGCTAAATAAAACACATTAACTACAACCAAGACTTGTCAAATACCATTACATCTGAGTGCATAAGTTTGCTGCCTGCATTTCCTCTGGCAGCAAGTATACTTTAATACTGCCTTGCAAAAATGCAAATTTATAACCCTGCTATTGTGTAAACTGTTCCGAGTCTAGGCATCATTGGGTAAACAAGATTCTGGTAGGGTAATGGTTCGCTAATTGGTTAGATTATTATGCATAATATTATATAGTTATGACAAATTTCATGAAACTGCTCCCAGTAATACATTGACCGACTCTAGTAAATGATTAACCATCTGCACATGTCGTTTCTATCATTATGTTAGGTAGAAAAAATAAGAGGTTGCTGTAATATCCCTCTACTGACTCTTATTCTAGCTTTATGTGCATTCATGAAGACTACTATTTATGAATACTTCTATTTTTAGGTAACGAATGAAACTGGGCCTGTTATACAACGGGAACGTGGGGTTGTTTTAAAAATCCAAGCCAAGCCAGGTTCCAAACACAACTGCATTACAGGTATGCTCATGAATGTATTCTTATTAGTTAATAGCAATAATAAGTCTGCATGCAAGCTTAATTGGATCGTGCACTGATATTCACTTGGTCGCAGCGGAGAGAAGTGGGATATGCCATCATTATACAAACATTGAACTTTGCGTCTGTGTGTGTAATATTGTTCACATTTGTCCATGCAGATATTTCCTCTGAGAGCATTGGAGTACAGATTGCTGCACCACCTGTAGAAGGCCAAGCTAACACAGAACTTATCAGTTACCTGTCATCCGTGCTATCCCTCAAAAAGAGTCATTTTTCCCTGGATAAGGTATCTGTATACAATTCTGTGCAAAATATTTAGTGGTAGCATGTGAAACAAAATTGAATAAAAAACATTGGTGATGTATTTTGAAATAATATTTTACACAATGCACATGATAACTATGGTGTTTTTTTTTAGTAGTAGGGTTCATTAAAATACAAGTTTTTTTTATTTTTGTTGTAGGGTTCACGTTCAAGAATAAAGTTACTCAGTGTTGAAGGAGCAGATATCTCCAAAGATAGTATTCTAGAATTGTTGAAAATGGAAATGAATGGACACAGATGAAATGATAAAACAATGCTAATTATAGCTATGCATGTGTGATATTTGTTGTATTATATCTTGATTATGTGTATGTAGATCATGTAAATTCATAAATACGTTTTTAAACAATCAAAAACTCATATAGGTTGTTGATATACTTTACTTCCATGTACAGAAAGTGTGAAATGTAGAGATAGAAGAGAAAACAGAGGTTATGTAACCATGTAATCATGTATCATGTATAATGTAATCATGTATACGTATGCAGACTTGAGAACAGAATATCCATGTGCATACATACATTTGTGATTATTTGCTCCTGATACACATGTACTCATACATGTTCTCAGGTACATACTTCAATAGCTTGACAATAGATGGCGCTGTAAGTCTACAGGGAAAATACTATATGCTATGCACAAAGCTAATGCGCACGATGCCTGAATTTCGTCGGCGAAGCTGATTTCGAGGTTGGACATGAGCTATATTTATAGTAGCGTCCCATAAACATTTCCCACAAATGCGTTGGTTTGCGAACTTTGTCCTGTGAAGTCGAAACACCGAAAGTACCAGAAAATACGGACAACGAAGGACGTCAGGGATTCAAAGGTTGGCTTTCTGAATTTGGCGTGCTCGCGCGGGGCTCGCGCAAAACATTTTGATTATTTGTGCCGGTAATATAATTGACGCGAATCTGAATCACTCAGTTCACATTGAGTTCGCGTTAGCGGCAATAGTTTCGCATGTGAATGTAGTGAGAAGCATTCATGTATAGCTAGAGAGCGTCAGGCTCCCAAATACAATAAACACAATTGCTCCCCTCATTTGATTGAATGAGGTCATAGGTGAGTGGGCCTTCTATTCTATTTCTGTGAGTGGGCCCGGCAGTTATGGAGGGGGTAAAATGAAGGGGGTACGCACAGGATGTAAAATCGTTCCTTTCAGTTACTGAGTACACTCTTAGGATACACAATGCCTACCCACAGTTGGAATACACGTATGGTAAACTTCAGATTTATTAATGTGATAATTGTTTTCTATGCTATTCTACATGCAATATGTGTCATCTAACTTAAGAAAAATCCCAGCATGATTCTGATTCATGATTCCCTGTCTGATTCATGATATAACTTATAAGACTAATGGTTATCCTACCCCCCCCCCTCATCTTCTGCTAGTGTGTAATCACTAATGTTGCAGTCATTTGTACTTTGTCCTGTACCATGACAGTTATACTCATGGGGTTGCAAGCAATCTAATTGCTATCCTGTGTAAACGAAATTTAAAGCAGCCTAAAATATCCTTCCAGCGACTTTAAAAAGTTAGAATTTAGAGGTTAAAAACTTAAAATCAATCTTTCTAGAAGCATTTTATAGCTGCATCCAGCTGTTCCCGGTGTTGATGCACACTTTGCAGCAGGATTATATATTATAGTAAAGTGCCCATAATTGCCTGGGACGAGGGGACACGATAATCTGTTTAGCATTTACAACAACGTTTATTGTTTAAACTATTGCATAGCACAGCTATTTTGTGAATACGGCTAACGTGTAAGTGTGTGTGTACGGAGAGCATGCATTGCATATCCGAAGCAACAACCTTTAGAGATGAATTTCCATCATTTAGTTTTGTTACTAAGTTTTGTGTGCCTTGGTACTGTAACAATATTGAGGTAAGGATAGAAATATACATGGGGAAGTTCACCACAACATGGCCCTGTTCTTACCTGAAGCAGCTGATAGTGTGGAGGAAAGGTAAGTGGTCTTCTTTTTGTTTAACAAAATTAATGCTGAAATTCATATACTTCATCAGGGGTAGAAATTAACTTTTGAACAAGGGAGTCCAACGGACTCTCTACCCTCAAAAAGAGGGAGTCTGCAGTCTGAGGTTCAAAATGAAAGATATTAACAATAATGCATGTGCTTATTTTTAAGATTCATGCAGTTGCACGTCTGCCAAATTTTCTTTGAACATTAGCTGAACAAATACAGTAATTCCGCGGGGCCGTGCCAGGCCCGAGGCATAACGAACTAGTTAGTATGGCAGAATTTTCAGGGAGTCACACGGACTCCTGCATATGTCAAATCAGGGAGTCCGACAGTAAATCAGGGAGTATTTGACTCCGGACTCCCGTTAATTTCGCACCCTACTTCATACTAACTATGGTAATTGAAAATCAATGCTATATTGTGCAGAAGTCTCAATTACAGTTTGTAATATGTCATGAATATTATTATTTCACGTTCATTTACCTGAAGTTGGTGGCAATTGTTGGGTACCACTAGAGTACCTACATAAAATCTTTATGTAGGTACTCTAGGTACCACCTACAACGTGCACCACCTACAATCCCAACACCAATATGCCATGTAGGTGTACCATATGGAAGATGGTCAATAACACAATAGTATGCCATCCATAGCATGTCGTTAACAACTTTTTCTATTTTATTTAACGCATTTGGTAAGTTGTATTGGGTGGCGCTGATATATGTTGTTTTCTGCACTTTGATGTTTGCTTTTAAAAGATCCATTGTATAGAAATAACTTTGCATATGCTTTAATTTACGTTTGTTCATAAACCGGAGATTTTAATTTTATAACATTGTTGAGACGGGAAGAATGTTCGAATGATTATTGATTTTGTATGTCATTATCAGCGCAAACATGCAACATCCAAGTCATATATAGTGAATACTTGCTCTTTTACTGACAAGTTTTACAAATTTAATTGAATAATTTAGGTATAAACATAATTATCGCATACAAGTGATCATGTATAAATACATTAAATTATTTCTTTTGGCATTATAATGAAGGACGTTGCACGAGAAAAATGGCAACGCCATTAATAAAGAGATCAGTACAGTTGCGTCGAATCAAATGGTTAACATAATCATATGCTCCGTTGGCACGTAACCAATTAATGTCGCTCGCAATTAATTACGCTGTTTGAAGAAAAAATTTGCGTTGAAGTACTCATTACCTATGCGCGCCGTGTAAGTAATCGTAGTGTGGTGAACGGACTCGTTGCAAATCAATATTGGCTTTAACTGCAAAACAGCGATTAGTTCGCTGTCGCCTCTAGGACTCTGCTGCTAGGCCTCTAGCGCGCTTCCCGGAGCTAGACGTTGCTCCTGCATTGTGCCTGCCTATCAGCTGCGGGCTTTCGACAGCCAGTCAGCCAGCCAGCCAGCGCTGCATCTCAGCCTGCCCAGGTGCCAGCGAGTAGAGCTGCTGCGGTGCATGCGGATGCTGTGGATGCTACACCGCGCGCCACAGTGCGTTGGCAGATGGTGCTTGAGCGGTGCTCGCGGCCGCATCCACGGTTCCTACCTCGGGAAAAACTTGTACTGGCGTGTACACATGAGTGCAGCCGCCGCGCGCGGTACCGGAGCGGCAGTTTTACGAGCGTCCGTCGCGTTTTTATTTCGCCGGCGTGCTGTGTTTGTTGTGTTTCGGCATAGACTAGAGGTCTACACGTGCGCGTTGTTAAGTTGCAGAGCGAGCTCGGCGAGTGAAGTGCTAATTGCAACGGGCAGCGACGGGGGACGTAGGAGGTGAAATTCGGCAGTGACCGCGGCAAATTTTTATCTTTTCCCACATCGATCCGGACAGGTAGAGCTAACGTGAAGTAGCGCCCGCATGTGAACCCGCGGGTAAGTATGGCCTCGTCGATTGTGTAACCTGTTATGAGCGGTACGGTGCGCGAACGTATCAGGTGTTCTTAGTTCGGAATTTGACATTCTGTGTGTGAGTTTGCGTGCGCGTGTACGCGAGTCCGCGTGTGCCGCTGTGCGTGCGTGCGCGTGTTGTCGTGTCTACGTGCGTGCATACGTGCGTGCGTGTGTGTGTATGTGTGTGTGCGCGCGTGTGTGCGTGCGTGTGTGCGCGTACGTGTGCGCGTGTGCGTGTGCATGCGTGCGTGTGCATGCGTACGTGTGCGCGCGTTGTGTGTCCGCGCGCGTGTATACGCAAGAAACGCGGAATTCTGAAGTTTGATAAGTGTCATTTACCGTGATGTAGCTGTGCGATGGCATGGCCTACTTATATACTTCTGCGACTAATTGGCTTTGTGTTTGCAAATGGATTACCACGTCAGTAACTTACGTGGCTGTCACTGCGTTAAAAGCGGGGAAGAAATTCCTCAGAATTGATTCAATGCCGCCGCAGTTCAGTGCCGAACAGAACACAGAATGAAATATGCTTCATAAAAGATTCACATCGACAAACAGTCCTCGAGGTATTTTACGCGCATCCCATTTACATAAGTAGGAAAATCGCATGTTCGCTACTAGCGCGTGTTGTTACTAGCGCATGTTGTTACTAGCGCATGTTTCGCGCATGTGTTTTTAACTAGTCAGTTATGACGTCATGCCGTCGCGAGAGTTGTGCACACAACCCTGCAACATGCAGGCGATTCATTCATATGATTCCAAGCGTACAATGTTGCTACTCGTACACGATTCAGTACTACGTGCGCGTATAATATATATATATGTATATATATATATATAAATGCTAATCCTCTGTGTAATCCGCTGAGTTTCCGCGTCGATTCGTACACGCGCAGAGACGATAAGAAGCCTGCGTGCTTGCGGTGGCAAGGGGAAATTCAGTTCCGCAAGTGCCCGCGAGGATTTCCGGCCGGCTACGCGTTGTTTGTGTGGCAGGTTGGCGTGCGCGTGATGTTTGTCAGGCAGCTGCGAAGCCCCAGCTTGTTTTGACTGGCCGAAGTATTTTTACAGCGGTCGGCCTTTTCGCCGCGATGCCGTCTTTGTATGCGATATCGTCCTAGAAGCCGCATAACGAGCCCTGCCGCGGAGTATGACTATATAAACGAGCACGCGCGTGTCTGTGCGCGCTCGCGCCTTCGTGAGTGATTTATTGAGCGCGCGTGATGGTAATTCGCCATGGTAATGCGATGTGCATCTTCTGTCGCGACTTAATTCTTTCACAGTGTTGAGCATTCTGGTTTCTAATGATCGCTTAGCCAGCTCATAGATAGCCTGAAAAGATCGTTTAGTAAGCGTTCATTACTTTATTTGCTATAACAGTAGCGAAAATGACTGTTTTTTGACGCGCGAACCGTTTAAGAATGTTCCGAGTCTTTATGAGTGAATGAATATGATCAGTTGTGAAAAGCCAGTTATTTCGTCGCAATTACACGCAGTGGATCGAGGATAAATCGGTGCGCGAGAGGAAAAGTTGAAAGATCGTCTCAGAGTG